AAAAAAAAAAAATTTCATAATTAACAAGGATAAAAGAAAAGAAAAAAAATTTTCATTTTTCATGTTTCGAATTGCGATGATTTTGAAGACATTGTGAAGAGCAGCAAGCAGCTGATAAGCATTTCGGACAAACTAAGAATCCCCATAATTCGTTTTTATTCTCTGGTTCATGACCGCATTCAACACAAATCGGTTTTACTCGGGGAACTCTTGGTTCCAAATTTTTAATTTTAGATTGTGCCTTTTTAACTAATTTGTCAGCTGTAGCAAATCCGCTTTCACCAAATCTTTTACACATGGTAAAGTATTCAAGAGCTTGAGAATAATCTTTATCAGCTTCGGCAGTAAGTCCAAGAACATACGTGATATGAACTCGAACTGCACGTCTCTTTTGAATGTCTTGATGTGTTAAAAATTTTGTACATAAGGGGTCTTGTAAAATTTGATGGATATGTTCCATTGCATTTATACCAGAATCCCAAATTTCCCGGTCTCTTTCACGATTCATATGGAACCTAGAAGGGAAAAAGAAAAAAGGTTATTACCTGTTTTTAATTATGTAATAAAATAATAATAATAATAATTATAATTTGCCATCCTTACCTATAGATATCAGACAGACCGGCGATTATATCCAGTAGGAGCTTCATCTCCCACTGGTTACAAGATATCATGTAAATAAATTTTAGAGCGCTAAAGTAATATGCGCAAGCAATTGCATAATCTTGTGGAACGATTGACATGAGGCCGGTATGATGAACTACACCAAGTTTTGCTGCTGCTTTTGCCGAGCCCATTTGAACTATTTGTTCAAGTAATTCAACATATTCTTTATATTTATGATTTAAAATTAGGTCATCGGCCTTCATTAGCATTTTTGAAACTTTTTCTGTGGTATTTGTTTCTTCATCGTCAAAATCGGGTGGAATTAAAGGTAACGCAGTAGGTTTGGGTTTTGATATTTTAACATCCTTTTTTCGGAAAATTTTTTTAAGAGGAACAAGGGGATTAAAACAAGCCATATTTATTAAGAAAAAAAAAAAAAAGAGTAAAATAATAAAATAAAATAAAATAAAATAAAAAATAAGTTTTAGAAGAAATCAACGAGATGTTTTTAAAAAAAAAACAATTCGACGGTGAAAGATTTCCCAAGGTTTATATAATATTTCGGATATTTCGTGTGTAACGATGTGCATTAGATATTGAATACTTGTAGTTTAAATACTTGTAGTTTAAAATACTGTATCTAAATTATTTAAATTATTTAATGATTTATTTACACTGCAGAACACAAAATCTTTGTGAAATTAGAATTTTCAATTCTTGTGTAGCTTGGCGTTTATAAACGTAAATACGGTAGTGGTGGGGGTTACCTCCGTTTATTCATACAGTGCCTTCCAAACCAGTTTTATATACTTTATTTTACTGTATATACTGTATCTTTTTAGTTGTGCCTTTATAAAAAAATTTCACATGTTAGTTTCTTGATCGGTTAACTTCAATATATATATGCTAAACTTTTCATTTTATAATAAGAAATCATTGACAAGATAATTATAATTTTGAAGCGAAGTCCATATTGGTTCTTTGCTAAAAAGGTGAGGATGTTCGCTATCAGCCTTCTCAATTATGTTCTTTAATAAGTTATTTTGATATATGCAACCTGTCTCTTTTTTGAATATTATCACATCTTCACATCTCCTGCAGTAATCCTATCAGAAGGGGTAAGTGTAAAGTGATTGGTGATTTGATATAATTGTTACCTTGACTTTTGCATAAAAAAATAACTGTCTGTGCATTTTTTTTCCCTTTTTTGTAGTCTCGTTTCGTCTCGTGAGGTCACGCCAATTTTTGTTACATGAAGATTCTTATCAACATTGCTAATCTTGGATAGTTTAAAAAAAATTAATACCACTTCGGAGCTTACTTTGTCCGAAATCACTACCTTATCATTTATCATTTTATGACTAATGCTCCGCAAATGTTTAGTCTCGTGTGTAAAAAATTTTTAACCAGATTTAAATTACAATAAATTATGACGCTTCAATGGATTGGTTTGTATGATAAACAGATAGTGTTGTGAAAGTCACGAGGGAATGTTTGGCCAACCTGAATTTTTTTTTTTTTTTACACTATCAAAAAAACAATAAAAATTAATATTAAATTAATTTACGTAATAATAATATACATATTTCTCTCTATGTTTTGTATAAATAATTCATGCGCCCCGCTGATATAATTATTGTTTACTCTCGTTTGTGTTACAATTTCCTCATTTACTAAACGTATTCCGTCTTTAAATTATTAATTCGTTGATATCCAATGTCTGACCTGAACCAATGATTCGAAAATCAACGGCGTTGAGCATGAAATTTAGACTTTTTTTTTTTAGACCCATTCCATTTTGTAAGCTGACTTGTCGAACTGAGCTTATTTTGTAAGCTGACTTGTCGAACTGAGCTTATTTCGTAGTACGTAAAGAAATATCTCAAGTTTCACTCTGTTCAAAAAAAATTAAGTTTGTTTTCCGATTCACTCTCCACTCATGTATACTCCTGAGTACAAAACATATCGATATTCATTAAAATAACAAGATCAAGATATTGTAGATCACATGGCGTGGGGAATGCCGATTTTAATAATTTTTTATATTCGTTATGTAACTTTTTATATTCGGTGATCGTATTTCATGAATAAGATAAAATATCAGATATGTTAAATTTAATGCCATTATTGTTACATTCTTCTTGTAATTTTTTATTTACTCCTAAAGAGAGTAACTATTATGAAGCAAATTTTAATATACGTTCATTATGCATTACTA